TTGAGCCTGTGGGACTCCTTCCTGGCACCAGCTGCCGGTTTGGGAATGAACAGAGTCAGCTCCGTTCCGAGGTGTCCTCGGCAGCTCCGCGTGTCGTTCCCGCCTGCCCGGTGCTCTGCCCTCGCTGCGCGCCACGTGGAAAACTCCGTTGCAGTTTCATGAGTGGGCAGAAGGGGGCACCGTGCTTAATTGCGTGTCTTAAAAACAGTATCTCCAAAACGAGTATCAGGCTGGTAGACAGCACGTGAGGCATTGTCTCTGGACTGCAAATAGGCAGTTTCAGCGACCGTTAATGTAGCCCCTTTTTTCCTATAAGTAAATACACTTACGTGAGAATGTTGCCAGAATACACGAATTCAAGGTAGTATGTGAAATGTCATGGAAAAGACTGTTTTAGCTTTCTTGTTGCTTTCTGCTCAATAAATTTAACTTTTTCTCATTTCTGGATTTATCATTACATTATAATATTGCTATATAAGGTTAGTAACAACAGCAGAACAACAGCAATGGAGGGCAGCGTTTTTTTTTAACAAATAGGTGCTGGTGAGCAGTTTGTTTCATATGCAAATAAATATTTATGAGTAATGTCATACCAATTTAGGACTAAATCTGGTGCTTTTCATGATTTCACTGAACTTTATGGAATTACGTGAGTTTAGCTGAGAATGGCTGTGACTTCGGAAGCGTAAAATAATTTTAGTATAGTTCTTCAGGTATCGAAGCATTGTTTCAGTTTTCTTTCTGTCATTGCTTGCAGACTGGCGCTAGCAAAGGCTACGGGTTTATAGAGTTTGAGTCCGATGACGTGGCTAAGATTGTTGCAGACACAATGAACAACTACCTGTTTTCTGAAAGACTGCTAAAGTGTAAGTATAAGCTGAAGTGTAAGTCGTCTAACATGCAAAGGAAATTCATAGTTATTTGTGTTATTTTTTGGGACTGTTTGGAGAGTCTTAGGGGGTTTTAACGAAGTTTTGATCCAGAAGGATTTTCTGTGGGGCTGAGCTTTTCTTCCTTTTCTTCATGTGTAAAGAACACCCTCAGCAGCCTTTTGGTCACTACGGCTGTTTTTTTCTCTAGGCTGGTGATGCTCGTTTTGCAATCGCGTACCGTGAAATCTCAGGGAGCGGTGGGGTTTGCTGTGGAGACAGTTCCTTTAACGTGGAAATTCTTTGTTATTTGTAACTGTTGCAGCTGTTGTCTGTATAGTTAGACATAAGGGGCTTTTTTGATTAAAAGATTAATGAAATTAGCAAGTTTTTCGGACATGGTGATAGCAACACTTGCTTTGTAAAGGATTATGAGCTACATATGCATCAGCTTCTGAAAAAAAAAAGTTTCTCTGACTGTTTTCTGGGTAAAACTGAAAAAGTGTTCTTTTCTTCCATCCATCCATTATCATTCTCTTACTAATGAGTATTTCGTTACTTTCCATATTCTCTGTTCATAAAATGCTGTACTGTTGCGCTGCCGTAGCAGCGGGTACTGTTATAATAAGAGCTGAATAGCGTTATGTGAGTACAGTTGGTGAGAAGGGTAGCTCTGCTATAACTTGATGTCATATGTTTATGATACAGGTCAGTTCATGTCTCCTGAAAGGGTCCATGAAAACCTCTTCAAAAACAGTAACAGAATATTTCTGAAGCCTTCTCAGCCAGCGGTCAGGCGGTACAATAGGATACGTTCACTCGTTCAGAAGGCAAACATGACAAAGCGACTGCTACGAAAGGAGAAACTTTTACGGAAGAGGCTGGCTGAAAAAGGGCTCGATTATGACTTCCCAGGATTTGTAAGTTTGGCATCGTTTCAATGAGTGTTTTATGCAAAATATGTTTCTAAAGTTGCGCTAAATACAAGAAAATCATGTGTTTTTTGTGGAACTGGTAGAAGAGCTGGAGCACCAGGGAGACTTGCTTGCATGTAGAAGCTCCTGGAAATTAGTGTTGTGCTGTTGCTGGGTTGTACTGTACGTACGTGTGGGTTTGCCTTTAGAGAAGTAAATAAGTAACAGCAAAGGGAAGACGTTCCTTTTCTTCTGTTAGTATGCACAGTTGGATATCCTGTGGTTTTCATATTTGTCTGTAGATCACAGAAGAGTGACAGGGCTTTCCCCAAGCCCTACGGGGGGCTTTGGCAGGGTGGGTTGTGAAGGCAGGTCCCAAGTCTAGAGCTTCCATCCCTAGACCTTGCCTAAGCTAACCAAATTTATTGCTCATTTGCAGAGTGCTTGGGTGAAGTATTTAAATTTTAAGCAATACCGTTTAATGCAGTATTTTTTTTAAAACACACAGTAGCAGCTTTTTTAACGTTGCTTTGGGTGTTTTTGTTCAAACCAGACCACCTCTGTGGCACTGTAAATCATTTTTATTAATTCAAACCTAATTGCTCTGGCAAAGATTTCGTAGTTATAAAGCAAAGAAACCTGCAGACTGTTAAGTGACTGTTTGCATCTTCACGCAAGGAAGTTTGTAGTGATCCACCTGATCTGTTTTGCTTCCTAGGCTGCACAGGAGCTTTCCATAAAGAGAAAAAAAGTTAAAACATCCAAGAAGTCAAAACGGAACATTTCTTTGAGCAGCCAGGTAAGACCGAACAGTCCTGGTGGCACTGGGGCAGATGTTTCAGGTCTGCAGCTGGTTTCTCTGTATTAATTTCAGCACCTGGAAACCTGGATAGTATTTGCTTGAGAGATTTTTGTGCCAAAAGTAGCTCCTTTGAGATGGATTAACACTCTTGAACGGGGGAGGGTGGTTGGATCCTCTCAGCTCTTTCTCCTGTGGGAGTATTTAGCAGCGTCTGCTCAGCATGTTGTAACCAGCAGTGCTTGTCCCCAGGTGCGTCCAGGCAGCGGTGTGTCTGCTGTCAGGCTCTGCTATTCAGCACTAACGTGAGGCAGGAGAAACGCAGGGTGCTGGGGACAGTCACCTATACACGACCTACATCTGTGCTTTAAACTGGTACAAGAAGATCTCCTTGCTGGCATCCTTCTGTTGGTCTGTGCTACATTATAATACCAGCCTGTTTTGACAAAAAGGCAGTTGAACCATTAATGCAGTCTAGTGCTGTCTGTCCCCATTTACATACTATACTGTCCCTCCTCTCTTATGCTCTCCAGGCACGGTAGTCCAGTATTTGAAAACTAATGCCAGCTAAAACTAGCAGTAGGGTGAAAGGAAAGCTCGGGTCATCAGGACCGAGATTTGGGGCACTGACAGTCTGAAAAGTCTGTCAGGCATTAATATTTCTGTTTTGTTTCATCACCGTTGTGAGTTTGGGTTTGTTTTTTTTTAATGTTACTGGATTTACTTGTGATAATTGGGACAGGGCTGGTTGTGAGGAATACAGGATAACTCATACATTCAGTCAACTGAGTTCTGAGAACTTACTGAGCTAATGAAGCTGGGACGTTTCAGCTCTGCTGTGGGCTTCAATGTGGCATTTCTGTATGCCAGTCTCAAATACACCTTTTTTTTTTTTTCCTGATTCTTTTCCTCTTGGCTTTCTTAGTGCTTTGAGTCAGGAAATACAAAGTTTAGAAAGCAAATGTGCATAATGACATGTTAGAAAATGTGAATTAATATACATTTGCCTTTCACATACGCTTTTTTGAAGATGGCACTTTCGTCTGAAGAAATACTGTCTACAAAGATAGCTAGTTATAAAAAGAAAACTATTTTCCCTAACAAGTGGAAGTTCTGAAGGAGAGCTGGACTGAGGTGCCTTGTGGTACCGCAGAGGCAGTGACAACTTTCTCTGGCAGATGCTTTGCAATGAATCATGTTTTTCTGGTCTCTTCAGGATCCTACTCCAGTCTGTACTCCAACAGTGCTCGAGCGCCGGAAAGCTTCTCAGGCGGATGGTGACGCAGAGGACAATGAGATAATTCTCAGACTGCCCCCTGCCAGTGTTAAGAATGCTGTGCAGCGACCAAAGAAGCAGCCAAGAAAAAGACCAAACCTGAAGAAACAGAAATAGACTTAAAATTTTGATGGCTTTAGCCATGTTTTTCCTCAACTCAAAAACCGGCAAGGTGGAGCTTCTAGTGATTCCGCTGCCCTGGCTCGGTTCATCTTGACTAGACTGTTTCAGTCTTTCCTAGGCAAGGAATCTATGCGCAAATCCTCCCCCTCCTGTTTAGCCATCAGGGGACCTACAGCCTTCTCTGCCTTTGAAGATATTCTTGACTTTGTGCTCACAAGTGCCCGTGCTGTGACACGCCTACAGTCGTGCCAGAACCTTCAGTTAATTCTGTAACTTGTCTCTAGCGCTCACTGTTTTGAAAGAAAGTGTGAGGCTGTCCATTCAGAACTTGCTGATGCGGGCTGTATCTTACATTTATAATTAATGATGGGTTATTAAAAAAAAAAAAGTAACCATTTTTCAACTGTGTTGGCTCTTGGTAGTGCTTTTTCTGTTTAACTGAATGTCTGTGTTTCATGCGAGTTCTCACATAGTTACACAAATAGAGGGTGAGGGATTTTTTCCCCACGAAGACATACCTTGAATTTCATCTCCTGTTTGTGATCAGTGAAGATCTGCCTGTACTGTCCAGGGCAGAGGCAGAATACCACGCTCCTGAGAAAGCCAGTGCCTTTCAACCCTGCTTCCAGCAGTGCCTGGGAAACTCAGCCTTTGCCGGGATGTGGAGTGGTGGCAGAGGACTTGGAAAGGACTGGGATTAGGAAGGTGGTAAGAGTCAGAGGAAGATGGCTGAAGTCACTCACATTCAAGATTCCCATTCCTTTCCCTATGGAGGCAGAAGATTTGTGTTTGAGAGCGTACCCTACTGTGGAGGACGTAGGGTGGCTGTTCTGTTGGCTGGTGGCTTGGCCAGAGTCACAGCTACGCTTTCATTCCTCACACACACGTGTAAAAGGCATTTCGCACTGCAGAGGTCCCGGGCGTGCATGTACTGATGTACTGCTTTACCTGTGGGCTGACCAGGCGAAGGTAACCTGCTCATTCTCTGGGGTTTCCTGTGCCATAAACCTGCTGTTGCCTGGTTCAGAAAATGTTCAAGAACCTGCAAAGTATGGCTGCTTTTAGAGGGACTTCTTGCTGAACTGTGGAGTGGAGCAAATGGTGACAACTAGCTTATGCACAGCTGTTCTCAGAGTAAGCAAGGCTCTTTGAGAAGGTGTATCAGTAGTCAGAGCAGTCTGGGTTGGATTAGGAGTTCTGTTGTCCTTTGGGCCCTGCAGCATCTTGTCGCTGTATTTTAGTTTTACTACCTGAGTGAGACAAGGGTATCTTCTGCTTCAGGGGATGGCAAACACATCGCAATATTGTAATAAGCCTTGGGTGGGTGAACCAGGAATGAGAGGGCAGGGTTTTGTCACCAGTAGTACAAGTTCAGAGAATTGAGTGTAGCTTTTTGTTGTGCATCAAGATTTATTCTTGTTCCAACGTAACCTGTCATAGCTGACTGCAGATACCCAGTCCTGTTTGAAGGTGCAGTTTGACTGTGCAATTAGAATTTGGATTTTATTGCAAATCTGAGACCTGCAGAAATTCCAGTTTGGGTTTTGTGGCAAGTACTTAGCCTTGATCTTCTATTGTCTGACGTGAAACACTCTCTCCTGCTGTTGGCTGTAGGTCAGGCTTGACAGAAGATTTCAGAGGAAAGCCCAGGTGATAATAACCGGCTGCTCAGGTAGGTGGCTGGCACTAATTCCTTGGCTATTTTAAGACTCGGACTCCTGGCAGAGGAGAAGAAATCTGAACCATTGGCCTGGCTAATTCTGTCCTATCTGGCCTGATCACTTAAATAATCATGTGATCATAATGACATTCTCTCGGTGACTCAAATTAGATCATTCTCCTTTGTCACTCTAAATTGTCGGGGAAGCCACTTGGATGAGTGCGTCTCTATCAAATGCTTGTGATCTTAGGTGTGCTAGGGAAGTCTGTTGACCAGCCCGATGGTCACTGACAGCCCTTCCCGTTCAGTAGCAGTGTTGCTGCATACATCTGCAGGCTTTACTCTCTCTGCATTGTTTCTTCTCTGTGCCTTGATGTGAAACAGGCACCTCAAACCCATGGAAAACACATCCTTAGCCAAGGTTTGAGACAAATGTGGTCAGGGTGGTTGGCAGAAATTGCTTATCTGTTAGTAAGTGACATGCAGCTCTGAAAAAACTTTTCTACCTCGACTTCATCCAGCAGAGAGCAGCAGAAAAGGAGCAAAATGCATCTACCCCGAATGGACAGTTTTCTTTTAAGATCCATATTCCTAACTTTGTGTTGTGCAAATAAAGATGGCTGTTGGGTCAAGATGAACTAGAAATGTGGCTGCGCTTTCTCCTGTCTGGAGCCGAGTCTCTTGGGCGCAGTCTGACACCGGGGGGCAGCACGTTTCAGTTGCGTGGACACTCGCCGCCCTCTGACAAACGCAGCACAAGGTTTCCTGGGAAATTAGCTCCCTGATTTATAAAGAAACCTGTCTAGTCCAGGCAGTTTGCAGTGACTGGCTGCATTGGTGTGACTAACTCATCTCTAACACAATTTAAGAATACGGAAGAAACCTGGTATGGATCTTAAACAAATATGCCCATTTCTTTGGTGCTGCCACAAATAATCCTTCCAAGGCTGTTGAGTTAAAGCTGCTCTTAAGAAAACTTAGTTTATCTAGAGTAACTTATCCAGTGCAGTTCCATGTTCACCGGAGCTTGAGCAGCTCCCTTCCTGTGCTTCCCATTCCAACCCGTTGGCCTGCATTTTGAACCTGGAGTTGCTTTCTTCCTACTCTGCTTCTACCGTCCACGCTTTTCTCCGTGCCCGGTGTTCTGCCCTTGCCTGGAAGCCTGTGTCTGCTTGCTGCTTTCTTCCATGTTTGACTCTGTGGCTTCTTTTCATCCTGCTTGCCATGCCTGGGCTATCCTCTCCAGCTACACGAACTTCCAGGGATTTATGCTTCTGCAGATCTCTTGAAAAGGTTTGTGCCTTTAAGCTGGCACCCTGGTTGCTGCTCGCTCTCCATATTCGCATGGCTGCGCGAGCCTTAATGGGAGGACGTTCAAGAAAGCTGTGCTTACAATGAGGTTTGCTTCCTGCTGTAATTTTCCTTTCCCTTCCTTTTGTTTATTGGTCTTCCTTCAATTGAGATCAGCTTAAATGGCAAATCTGAAAAGCAAGGAAACAAAATTCTGTGCTGTTTGAGTAAAGCACAACAACAATACCCAGGCTATAGCAAGGAACTCTGAGCAGAGGGGTAGCTTTTCTTGGTGACAATTTCTGTTTTTAGGCTGCCTGTGTTATTAATATACTGCTGTCCTGGGAGATGTACATAAGCAGAGATTCAGACACCTGATACTTACCAAACATAGTTTCCGCAGCAAATGGACAGATGTGCTGTGTCATGAGTTATGCCTCAGTCCTTGCACGGGTTTTTATTTCTCAGCTCTCCAGTCGTTTGTTCATCTTGGACAAACACAAACCTCCTGGCCACTGGTTTTAGAGCAGGCTGTGAGTTGTTTTTACTGGGATGCTGGGAGTTTCAAGTTTACTGGGATGCTAGGGGCTTTTGTTTCAAGGCATAACTTGCAAGCTTTCTGCCCTTCTGTAATGAATGACTGTGGAGCTAGTTTACTGAACACCTATGTCTGTAGTACCGTTTTCAAGCTTCAGAAACACTTAGGTGCTAGCCAAGTCTGCTAATTTACACTCGTTTATTCTGATTTCTCTGTTTTGCAGGAAGGGGAGCTGGGCTTAGGAGTGCACAGCATTTCCCAGCACATGAAGCACTGGAAGTAAAAGAGGAATGGGATGGGGGGAGGGGGCAAGAAAAGCAGAATTGGCTGCAAAATAGAGGGGAGAAAGGAACGATGAAGCCAATGCTTACCTCTAGAGAAAAAGGCGTTGGTGAATTTGGCAGTTAGACTGCTCGAAATTAAAGATGCAGTTTGATGTTTTTCTTATTTGTTTCGCCTGTTAGATGTGCTATGGGATGCCCAGGCTGCACAGTGCGTCAGGAGTGTGCTGCAAACCGTGGTCCAGGTGCTAGAGCTTGCTCATGAGCCCTGTGTGGAGGAGGAGAGCAGGCTGGGCAAGTGACGCTTGCTCTTGCCAGTAACAAGCCTCTTTGCTTGCATACCTGGCTTTTAAAATGGCTGCAGCCCCGAGGAACAAGGCTAAAACCTGTCTGCAAATAGCTCACGGTGCAAGGGAGGATTTGTGCATGGCTCTGAGGGGTGACATTCTCTCTTCTCCAAGTAAAGCACCAGCGAGGCAGAGCATAGCTCTAGCAAATTCCTCCTCTCCCAGCTTTCCCTGCAGAGTGCTGGGGTGTTCGGTTCTCACTTTGCCTGTGTGATGCAGCCGGCCAGGGCAGGGCTGTGTTGTGTGAGGTGCTGTGCACATCCCTGCCCTGGGCAGGGTGTTGCAGGTGAAAGCCGGGTGAACGGGTAACAGGAGCATGGTGGATGTGATCTCCATTAGGTATTTTCCAGGAATACCCACAAGTCCTCCTCTTGGACCAGACTCCCTCATTGTCCAAGATGCTGTTCAAACACATCCTGTTTTCCAGAGTTTACAGTCTAACCCACAAAGTCTTGAAATGTCCAACTCCAGGCAGCGATAATCTGCAGCAAATAATTCTTGGCCAGAGAGATGTAGGGGACCACCCCAGGGTGCTGCTGGAACGGAGGCGGTCGGAGGGCCGTTCTGTGCATCAGGCTGCTGCCTGGCACCTCTAATCCAGGCACATCCCTCCCTGCCCAAGGCCAGCAGCTGTCAGAGCAAGCTGAGGAAATGGTTAACTGCATGAGTGAGAATTGAAGTGAAACATTTTCTGCCATGCAGGGTGCAGCAAGGCCTCTCATTACTTTTTCCACCCAGCATTAATGAAGCATGTGGCAGGGACAGAGATGCTGGCTGTCCTGGGAAGCTTGGACTATTTACACACCTGAGTGTCTGTGGCCAGTAACTGTGTGGATCTCCTGTGCTAGCAAAGGATAGGTTGCAGAGAAGCTCCTACA